AAGAAGTATATGTCAGGCATGTTCTAAGAATTTATTTTAAGTATTTATTTTTTTTAGTCACAGATGGACACAATATCTTTATTTTTTATTTTATGTGGTGCTGAGGATCAAACCTAGTGCCTCACACATGCTAGGCAAGCGCTTTACCTCTGAGCCATAACCCCAGCCCATGTTCTAAGAATTTGACATATTTAATATTATCCTTATTGTATAGTAGGTCATGTTATTAGTTTTCATGTTACGAATAAGCTATTTGGTAGTTGTAATTATTTTCATTGCCTCTGATGCTCTCCTATTATCACCTTCTTTACTTTGAGACTATGAAAATGTTCTGAGTCTTTTAATAGCTTCAAGGTTTTGTATTTCAGATTTAGGTCTTCCTGTTTTCTGCATCTCTACTTTCCTGAACCAATACTAATATTTTTTAATTGCCATAGTTGTGCARTATCCTTATTTCCATATATAAGTTTTTTTTCCTTTTTCTTATTTTTCAGGGTTATGTTGGCTATTCTGAAACCATTAATTTTCCATATGAATTTTGAAACATTTGTCCAGTTCCAATTTTCAAAAGCTATTTGAATTAATGAGAATATCATTAATTTATTGATTAAGTTGAGGACAGTTGGCAGTTTCACCTTGTATTTATTCATTATTGTGAATAGTAGTACAGTATTCATTCTGGTCTGCTGTGTGTGTGTGTGTTGCTAAGGATTGAACCAAGGGCATCATTCATCCAGGCAAACACTTTACCACTGAGCTATAGTTCCAGCCCTTCTTAAAAATTATGCTTTTGGGGTTGGGGTTATGGCTCAGTGATAGCACACTTGCCTGGCATATGTGAGGCACTGTTTGATTCTTAACACTTCATATAAATAATAAAATAAAGGTCTATCAACACCAAAAGATAATTTTTAAAAATTATGTTTTTGTTTGTCCTTGTCCCACTGGTGGGTGGAGGTTAGGGAGTTATTTTTGGTATCTTAGGGTTTTTTTCGTTTGGTTTTCTTTTTGTTTTGTTTAATGTTATAGTCTACGGCAACCTTGGTGAGTACCTTTATTGTATCTAATGGTTGGTGGGTCTTTGGGATTATGAACATGAGAAATAATGAAATCTGCAAATAACCTGTAGTTTGATTATTCCTTCACTTCCCGTTTCTTTTTTCTTTTGCTGAAATTTCAGGTATAGTAATAAAATTTTTTTCACTGTAGTTTTTTGTTTTTCCTCTCTACCATTTTGATTTTTCTTCATGGTTTTTTTTTTTTTGCTTCACATAGCAGTGTTCTTGCCAAGAAATTCACTTTAGTTTCCATCACCTCTTTTTTATTTGATTTGATTTTTTTTCCCCATGGTATAGATTGAGGCCAAATCCTTGAACATGAAGCAAGCACTATACCACTGAGCCACATCCCCTGCCTGCACATTAACATTTATGCCATCCATCCAAACCAAATGGCCTAATACCTGGAAAGAAAAATGCCAGAGCCAGATATCCTATATGATGCTCTCAGCTTAAATAAGACAAACCATTTGTGTTACTAGAAATTGAATCATAAGGCCTTAGTACATGCTAAGCTTGTTCTCTACAACTGAGCTAGACCCTCAGTCTGAACATGTAATTTTAGAGGCTATATTCTAGAATTTCTATTTTAAAAAATTTTCATATGTTTAGATTGCATTCTAACTTTAGCCAATTAACATTTTTTTTTATAGTTCCCCCCACCTCACCCCACTGCTGGGGATTGAATCCAGGGCCTTGGCACTCTACCAACTGTGCTATATCCCCAGCCCCCAATTTGTATGTTATTTATAAATACATTTATAATAGCTGGATTAAAATCTTTGCTGTTTTCAATGATGCCCTTGGTTCAATCCCTAGCAACACACACGCCAAAAAACAAAACAAAACCCACCCTAAACACACACACACAACAGACCAGAATGAATACTGTACTACTATTCACAATAATGAATAAATATAAGGTGAATCTGCCAACTGTCCTCAACTTAACCAGTAAATTAATGATATTCTCATTTCTTTTGGCAAGTTCCAACACCTTGGTGTGGCTTTTTGTTCCTAATCTAACCCTCTCACATCTTTTTATTTTTTATATATAATATATATATTTTTTAAGTTGTAGATGGACACAATATCTTATTTTTATGTGGTGCTGAGGATYGAACCCAGTGCCTTCCACATGAGAGGCAAGCACATTATCACTGAGCTACAACCCCAGCCTACCCTCTAACATCTATTAATTCTGTTGCAGAAATTGCCAAACTTTATTTCAGCAGCCCAATAATGAATATCACAGGTTTTGTTAGCCATATACTTTTTTTACTAAGAGCGCCCAAAAGCAGTTTATCACTACATAGTCTAAATTAAAAATTTGCCATGTGTTAGAGCAATTTTTGTTGGTTTACCTAATTATTTAGGTATTGGAGATTGAACCTAGGGACGCTAAACTAAATCCCAAATCCTGCCTCCTTGTTTAAAAGATGTTTGAGATAGGGTCTTACTAAGTTGCTAAGGCCAGGCTCAAATTTGTGATCCTTCTGCCTTAGGCTTCCGAGTAGCTGTACACACATGCATCATCATGCTTGACTTTTTAAGTAAACTTAATGCGGGAATTTCAAACATAAATGTGGACAACATAGTATAATAAACCACTATGTACCTATGACCCATTTTTTTTTCTGTTGTGGTAAAGTGCACATAACAAAATTATTTGGAAACAAATTCCACACTTAATTTCATCTATAAAGAAATTAATGGGCTGGGGATGTGGCTCAGGTGGTAGCGCACTCATCTGGCATGCGTGAGGCACTGGGTTCGATCCTCAGCATCACATAAAAACAAAATAAAGATACTGTGCCCACCTAAAACTAAAGAAAAAAGACCTCCACTCTATACTTAATTTCCTACTCTGAGATCTCAAAGTACTTCATGCACAATGCTACCAATGCTTCAGTTCTGAAGAACTGAAGCTTAAATGTGAATAATACACCTTCTTTTATGCTAATAAAATGGCTCAAATTAGAATCTTAAAAGAAAAATTAACGTTAGTAGTTCTTAAGGATAGGGATTCTTTTTTTTTTTTTTTTAAACAGCCATATTTTAGATGCTTAGGCTATATCAATAAAATATAATCCCCAAAATAGCCACAGTATCATCATCACTGATTTTTTTTTACTATTATCACATAATACTCAGTGTTTGTATTTTCTTGATTTCCCTTGTCTTTTTCACATACTGGGGATTGAACCYAGAACCTTGTACATGTTAAGCAAATGCTCTACCATCCTTTTTTCTTTTCTTTTTTTTCCCCCCTTTTTCTTTTATAAGAACGTTGGAGGCTGGGCTTGTAGCTCAGTGGGAGAGCACTTGCCTAGTACCTGTGAGGCATTGGGTTTGACCCTCAACACACAAAAATAAAACAAAAAAAAATTTTAAACTATTTTTAAAAATAAAGAATGTCTTATAGAATTTCTCTAGGGTATACTTTTTTCCCTTTATTTTCTAGCAGTAGGGACTGAACCCTGGACTTAGGCAAATGCTCTGCTGGTATATGTTCATATCCTTATATTTTGCTAGTTACACTCCCTCTCCTACCCCATCTCTCTACCCCTCTCTCCCCTTCTCCCTCCCTTACCCCCTCTTTCTTCTCCCCCTCTCCCCCTCCTGTGGCCTCCCCATGCTGAGGATTGAACCCAGGGCCTTGTGCATGAGGCAAACATTCTACCTGAACTATATCCCCATCTCTCTTTGTATTTATAATCTGCATTTATAAATTTTAATAGACTGCTGGAACATTCCTCTTCCTCAGCAACCCCTTCATCGGACATTCTCTACCCATTTTGAATGCCTTGCTAAATGGTTTCTTGAGTGTAGTTTAATGTGATTGTTATCCTCCTGTATTTCATGCAAATTGGTACCTTGATCAAGAATCTTGATCAGATTTGAGTTTGCTCTCAGAATATCACACAGAGGGAACTAAAACTAGCTGCTGGTGTCATTGACTTAGATTGTGCCTTTTACGTATTGCCTTCTTTTCTGTTTATTAGAGGCTTACCCTCGTCTCCATTGTCCTGAGGTACAACTCATGTGTGAAATGCATGCTAAATGGTTGTTGCTAGCCTTTATTAAAGTGACCTTTCTTTTTTTTATTCTGAGTATTTAAAAATGTGTAATTATTTTTCATGTTGAGTTTGGCATCTCTGAGTTATCTCCCAAGTTCTTTTGTTTCAGCTCTGGTACTTTTCAGTAGTGTCCCTGCTTAGTAATATGACAAGGTGTTCCAAGCTTTTCTGTAATACCACTGCAAAGACCTGGAGTCAGCATGTTTTACAGTTCCCTGGATTCCTTTATGAGGAAATGATATTTTGTGTACCACTGGCTAGGTACAAGAAGCTTAGTGGCTTTTGTATTGGGTAAATCTAAGGTACATGTGCTCTCTAGCTCTTTTTGAGAAAAAGTACATTGAGTTTGTGCCGAAGCTTTCCATTTAATTTCAGTCAATGTAGTTTATATTTCTTCAGTCTCATCAGTCTCTCATTTCTTTAGTGTGAAATCTTGGATGTCTGTGACACTAATATAATCACTGATTAAATCTATTCCATAATTGCACACAAAAATATCAGAATAACAGTATCGATAGCAATATAATGCTGAAAACAATTGAAGAGTGTTGATTATCTTGCCATATTTTGTGCCTATGATTTCTAAGGAACATACATACAATCAGCTGTTTATTTTATTATGGCCTAAATTCACTTAGCAATTCTTTGTTATATAACAAATTAGATATACCTTTAGTTTCCTTTTTCTTGTAACTTATACAGATTAATTTTTGTTTTAAATCTAAGCATATGTGGGCTGGCTGAGGTTGTGGCTCAGTGGTAGAGCACTCACCTAGCATGCCATGAGACCCTGGGTTCGATCCTCAGCATCACATAAAAACAAAATAATGTGTCTACCTAAAACTAAAAAAATACATAAATAAATATTTTTTAAAAATCTTGAGCAMAGGGGCTGGGGATGTGGCTCAAGCGGTAGCGCGCTCACCTTGCATGCTTGCGGCCCGGGGTTCGATCCTCAGCTCCACATACAAACAAATGTTGTGTCCAGCGAAATCTAAAAAATAAATATT